ACAATTAAATATGAGAGGCCTGAAGAAAAAAAAATCTGAAAAGTGAGCGCTTTTCTGACTGATTTCTCTCTACATTCTAATTTATTTTTCCTTACAACCTAACATGGCTCTACACCAAATCATTCACTTCCACTTTGGATTGGAAAGTCTACTATCAAGAGGAGGTTTCAGGCCTAAACATGCAGATACCAGGAGACCCCAGAAGAGACAGACATAAGGTCACAAAAGGTCAACGACCCAACAGCTAGTCCTGGTATCAGTCTGACAAAAATGACGTCCAGCTGACTCTTACGGAGATAGTGCCCGAGGACAAGACGTCTCCTGATAGTACCTGTGCTTACAGCAGGACATCGTGCATCGACTGGCATCGACCAGGGAACATGTGAGCTTTGTCCTTGGCTCCTTATTCTCTCCACAGATGACAGCGGATTTACGTTGAGCCCTCGTGACAAACGTGACCGTCTGCAGATGCTCTAGTGAACATGGTGCAGCGTCCATTATGATCTGCTGCGTCGCAGTCCAAGTCTAATGTTCTCGGGTTGGACACTAATGCAGCTGTTAGCATGGGTCCCAGGAGAATACTGTAAGACTCTGTTCTGGAAAGTTTGGACAAAAAGAAGCTTTCTTTTGCGTTGCTATGATGTTTGGGAAGCGTACTGAACAAGCGTACTGACCAACTCCCTGCGTTTTGACCCTGTATCACATTCTGTGGTTTGGTCATGCCCTCTGACTCCCTCATGATCACCCCACAGTTGAAATCCTCAAATTTGATCGAAAAGTTTGGGTAGAAAACCCTGCACCAGAAACCAACACTAATGAGTAGGAACTACAACAACTGGGGTGAACGTGGAGGACACAGAAGAACAGGACCAGGACGTCGGCCGTTGCAGAAATCAGGTTAAACTAAGACGCTTTGGACCATGGCGCCGCAAGATACCTGAAGCGAACCAGTGACCACCTGGTGGTCATTCTTTATTGTTCCTCCTTGCACAATAAAACAGACCCCAGTTTTTCTGACGAGTCGTGCTCTTTGTGAAACGGCCAACCTCGTGGAAGTTCCCGCTCGTTGTACAGCTTGTCACAATACAGCAAACCTTGCAATGTTATGGGTTGATTCACTACAGTGGAGCTAATGGACTGCTTGTTGAGCCTGTGCAGGTCGCTCCTAATGATACCAGTGGTCGAAGGGACACTTGAGAAAAATGAGAAATGAAAAAAGAAAAAAGAGGTTGAGGTTTGTTTCTTTTTAAGTCACACACCTCGGATGTGGGGAAGGAAAAGTTCCTCTCGGAACAGATCTCTGTAGGTTAGAAAATAAGGTATGAGATCAAAAGAGTGACTTTCACTGCTGTTGTACATTCATTTATTCATTCATTTAACTGTTTTTGTAGATCTTTGTAGCAGAACTCCAATAGAAAATACTCTAATTCTAAATATTACACGATCTAATGTATTGTCACCAATTGTTCAGTTATAAATAAATGGAACCGAGCTTCAAGAGGAACCAATTGCTCAGAGTTGCCACCTGTATAATCCAGTCTATAATCCATTTTTAAGGAAAGTGTTTACTTGAAACTAGCAGACGAGGGATGTTTGGAGGGTTAAGTGACAGTGTCTAATTAATTTTAGGAAAAAAATGCTTGAGGAGGATAAATATAATACATCTCTGATGACATGTGATCTCCACTTCTACTCAACCTTTTCCAGCACTACAGTAATGACGCTTCAACTGCCAAAAGAGCTGTCAGGAGCAACACAGAGTTTAATAACATCATCATAATATCACATACTAGCAAAGCCTGGAATTGAACCCTCCACATTCTGGTCTGAAGAGAACACGCCCTGACTCTGAGCCACATCTGTGCATCCTTAAATATATATATATTTGTTCTTTTATTATGTTCACTGTAGCAATGTTGCACAAAATTGAAACAGCATTTTAACACAACAGGCAGAGAATCAATCCTGTTCTGTGAAAACTGCTTTATTAAAATAAAGCCATTTGTTAAAAACCAAAGATTTATAGCCTCGGTGCAGAGGGCACTGCAAAGGTAGCTCTACGCCTCTTATCTACTTCCTGGCACTGGACACGGTCGAACACAAGTCCAGGGCAAGAATTCTAAAGATCATCCGCAAACAAAGTGCCTCATCAGCTCTCTCTCTCTCTCTCTCTCTCTCTCTCTCTTAGTGTCAGCAGATTTCAGAATGTTACTCCACCAATCAAGTGCACATGGACAAAGGGAAATAATAGACAAGTTTTCAAGTCCTCAACAGCCTCCGTATCTCAGCCTGCTGCACATTCACACACATATTTGACAGGCTGAGTGTTAAATATTCAGTATTTACTAACACGGCTGACGGTTGCATGGACACCATTTGGCCATATTTAAAAATTCATTATAATTTAGAATCAAATATGCTGCCTCATTGTGCCGTTAAATATTGATAAACGTATTTACTCTCTTTTCTTTCTGTACGTGTGTTTGCACAAACTGTGACAGCTCTATTACACCCCTAGTGGAGAAACAAAAACCGTACGATGAGGCAAAAGCTGATTTGGCTAAATCTGGTTAAAGCTACGACCAAGCGAGGATGAGCGCCATCCTCTGGTACTTTGACAGTATTTTTCCTCTCTCTGTCTGGATGGAACTGTTAACCAGAACCACGCAGACCCAGCTGGAGACAGTAATGAAACTCAAAGGAAGCCTGCTGCAGTCAGACGGTGGACAAGGTGGACAAGGTGGACGGGAGACACAGACAGTGACTCTGTATATGTCTGAGTTAGGAATATATTTTTAATTTTAAGGCCATTGTGGTCTTAAAAGTAACAATCTTACTGAGATAACTTAGGTTGAGGTGTACGGCCACAGAGTTTATTCAGTGCTCAGTGCCATAATGTCCAAGGAGGACAGGGCTGCCTCCTGAGACCTATAAGGTTTTACTCACTTATAGGATTTTATCTACTCTGAAACACAACTTTAAATCAGAGTGTTCAACTAATGATGTTATTATACGCACTAAGCAGCAGTGTTTGTGAGTGGGTGTGTTCTTGGTACTGAATAGCTGTACTTGAGGGGACAGTGTTTTTAAATGGAAAACTATTGTTTTGGGGACTGCCTTTTGCAGGAACACAGTGAGTGTTTTTTATTCAAATTGAGTTTGGAGTTAGGATTAAAATTAGGGTCAGATTAGATTAAGGGTAAGGTTAAAATAAGTGGCTAAGTGATGCATGAAACTGTATTTATTTGAAGTGTTTAGAAAACACAAAACCTCGTGTGTGATTCTGTGTACTGTATGTGTGTGTGCAGTAAGGACATTTTTTTACTGTAAATGTCTTGTTGTGTTGGACACTGTCCTTGTTGGGATGTTTTCTTGTAGGGTATTTTCAGGGTTACTGATTCAGTTTGGAGTAAAATTAGGATTAAGATTGGTCATCCAGTTGTCATGGTTAATGTTAGTGTAAGGGCTTTATGAATTCATTATGTCTATGTGAAGTACTCACAACCGTGTGCGTATGATTGCGTGCGTGCGTGTGATTGCGTGATCGTGTGCGTGTTGTCACTGAGATTGATGGGCCAAGCACATCCCCCGCCCCCCCCCCCGGGTAACAGTGAACGTGATTGACAATCTGCTGCTCCATATGAAGCAATAATAAAAAGCAGGTCACAGCTGTTTTTTAAACGATAAAATGTAATATAAAATATAAAATGTATATAAAAATAACATGCAATTAACAAAATGCATGCAATGCTCTCACAGTGCAAATATATAATAAAACTGTGCCGTTCTAAGACTCACACCTGTCAGAGAAACTGCCGCATCCACTAATCTAATGACACCACCAGTCTACTTTGGGTTTTTTTTACGCATCTTCTTTATCTTTTAATTTCTTCGTCTTTCACTCACTTCTATGACTGGAGTAGCCAGGGTTGTAGCCATAGTATCCGGTGATCCTCAGGATCCGGTCCTCGATGTCGTGCAACCCGTTGGCTGTGACTTTGGAGCCGCTCTCCGTGAAGACGGTGCACCTGCCTCCGCTCGGTGTCGCCTTGCCCGGTAAGTGCGTGCTGCTGAGGGGATCCAGTGTGGTGGAAGGCTGCTCTCCGCTGCTCTCCAGCACCACTATACCGCTGCTGTCGGTGCTCATCATTGCAGCGGGCAGAGATGATGATGAGCCCTGATCACAGGCACCCGGGGCTACATCCACACTCAGCATCCAAGTCCACACACTCGCATTCCTCCAGTGATGCTCCCGATCACAGAGCAAGGTTATTACCAAACTCCTGGATCCTGGAGACGCAGCAAACACTAGGGGGCGTGTTTCCACTACGCCTCTCACGCATGAGTCTTGTACCTGAATTTAATTATACTGAGATTTCTTTTTCTTTTTCCCCCCCTGCTGCGGCAGGAGACTAGAGAAATCAGCATTAGTCGTAATAATAATTTTCAGGTGTTGTGTCTAGGAAACATGCAACACTGTATGTTGCTTTTTTCAGATGTCCTCATCAATATTCTAATGGTTTTACCGTATTGTGTTTATTGAGCACGAATAGATGTAAAAAGCAGACTTTCTGTTTTTCTTTAAATATTTACACCTTTTGACATTTCAGTGATAGTGTTGTGTTTTATTGTAATATCCTGATGATTATCAAAAATGGGATTATGGCTTAAATCCACAGTTATGTACTTTAAGGTCATCAATATTAAAATTCAATATTTTGGTTTAATAATTTTTGCCCATCCATACGACCTTTCTTTGGAAAGTTTCTTCTCGAAGATTCTTTTGTTTTTCAGGAATCCAAACTCCTCTTTTGCTTTTTAATCTTAAAATGAAAACATCTCTGAATGGATAAGATTGTATGTGCCAGTGGGGGACCCACTGTGGGTTCTTGTGATAAAAAAGGGGCTATATAAGTGGGAATTGATTACCTCCACACACATTTATTTATTTTATTTTATATTTTCAACTGACTTTTTTTAGGTACAACACCATTGGAGTACGTGTCTCCTGATGGCAGAGTTTAAGACAAATATGGACAGGCACCTAGAGGGCACCTTTAGGGTCTTCCAGGTAAAGTTAACAATTAACCAGGAGAGCCGGGAATAACTTGGTGTTTTCAGGTAAGCCACCATGGTGCAAAACCATATAAAAGGTTAGAGATGCAGATGTGAATTAAACTATATATTTAAATTGTAAAGTAAACCCAATAAATGTGTTTGTAGCGAAACGGTGTTCGGCGAGCTAACCAGGCTAATTTATCGCTAATTTACCTTGCGTTATTACTGCCGTGTGTGTAGTCTATACGTAGGAACAACGACAGTGTTAATGGCCAATTAAATGTAAAAAGACAACACAACCGGAGTTTAGGTCACATTTAATTAGTCCTTTTGTTGTTAGACATGAAATACATTTTAATTTCTATAATTTCTTATAATTTCTGTGCATTTATATAATTTGTACAATTTAATGTCTTCTTCAAATTAACTATGCTTTCTTTAGCATTCTTACTTCAAGATTAAAAAGTTTTCCAACACCCCATACCAAATAAACCCCCATATCATTTGAAAAAAATATATATCCAACACCCCATACCAAATAAACCCCCCATATTTGAAAAAAAAAATCTAAAATGAGTTCTATTCAAAAATAAACCCCTGGACTATCTCTTTTCAACCGCTGGCCACAGGTTCTTATGTTGGCTGGAGAAAGCTGCATTTAACTGGATCACCAAGCTTTCTGGTGCTTAGAAGAAAGAAACTCAGAAAAGTGGCCTCCAGATCCAATAACTCATGAAACAGTGAATCAGTCTCCTCCTGATACACCTCTTTCCAAGTCCACAACTCACTGTGTTAAATTGATTCCCAGTGTGTGGAGAATTTGTGCCTCCGTTGGCATCGCCGCACAGACACATGCTGGGGTTTAAGATGCCCTTGGATGCCAGAAGTGCCTCCTCCCCCTCTCTAACTTACTAAACCAATCTCCACCTCGTGTTCCTTTGTTTCAGTTTGTCTGTGCTCCTAAAGCACTTATCTCGCACATACATTTCGGGGAGTTCTTTGTGGCTCCAACAATAAGACGTTGTTGCCCATGGAAAAAGTTTCCTCACGCCTTCAGAGAGTTGCTAATGTGTTATTGGACAGTTTCTTCCGTCTCTGTTCAGCTACTGTCCAAAAAAAAGAAGAGACTTTTCTTCAATCTCATGCCTTTGTTGTGGTGCCTCGCAGTTCTATGCAGTTCATGGCAACACAAAATATAAACAACCACACTTGAGGATTATGTGTTGCTTTCTTTCTTTTGCGTCCAAGGTTCTAATCTGAGCTATCATTTCTAATGGATGCTAATGCATAAAATAGAAAACTTGCTTTCTGGTAGCTGTGGCTTAGTAAAAGCCATAATTCACACTAAATAAGCTTTTATGCAAATGCACTGTCATCAGTGACAGGTGTGAAATATTAATTTTAAATGTCCACAGTGTCCTGCATTTGTCTTGTGTCATTGCAGGGACATAATTTATTCATGAGGGCATTATCACGGCCTTTCATTTGATGAACCTCTCATACCTGTGATATCTTCTCCTATTGTCCTTCAGCAACAAGAATGGAATAAGACTGACACCAGCCCCAGACAACATAATTGTAAAACATTCACAGTAATCGCAGACAAAACTCCATTCTGTGCTTTTGTGTAACCTTCATCTGCTGTAATTTTAAGAGATAATGAAGAGGGCATGATCTTGAATTTACATTCCTCCTGTTCATTCAGTCACTAAATGTTTGTTTTTAACATCCTGCTTGTTTAATGTATTTTTTTTAGCTGTATGGTTTTCCGCTAAGATAGTCTGAAGGACTTACAGTTAGTGTGTCTGTGTATCTTTAGGATTAAACAAATTAATCCAAATTAGATCACACTGAGCAAGCATTTTGGTAACAGTGAAAAGAAAAAACCTGTCTCTAGATCTAGATTTAGTTTTCAGTCGTCGAAAATATCGATAGTTTGAAATATCGCGGTGTTTATTGATATCCTACAGTACTGTATCAATTTTATTTTTACAAATAACATGCTAATATTCATGTCATTCATACATTTTATTTTGCTTTTTTTTCTTCTTTAGCGATTACAAATGTAAATCTACAGTACTCGCTATATTGTGACGCCTCTTGTATCGCAGTATATTGCAATATATACAAAATGTGTGTTCTGCGTATGGGGAGGAGGGGGCAGCTCTGTTGGTGATAGATAGTCAGAGATAAAACATAATCCTTTGCCTGAGTGGAATAAAAGGACAACCTGAGGAGACAATATGTCCCATGTGACAGCATCCCAGGCCAAACCCAGAGCTGCAGCGCCTCCAACAGAGGATCATAAAGTCACCTTAGAGATCAGTGACCAACGACTCCACTGCCACCTGATGTATAAATATTCAATGTGCACTAAAGATAACTTGTATCATGCAGCGAGCTGAGAGAAAGAGAGCCGTTGAGCAGAGGAATGGACTTTGTCTTTAGAATATAGTAGTGGGCTCAGGTCGGGCTGTATGTAGTGTTGACCTGCAAAAGGTCACGTTTGAAAGACCCGTAAATATTTAATCACTTTGATCACTGGGTCTCCGGAGTAAATGTATTTACTTAATAGAAGTTAGTAATATAGAGAAATAATACAGCAAGTAATAGATGTTGTTTGATTGACAGTGAACAATCAAACATTTGGCCAATAACTGTGTAAATCTGTAAGAATAAAAACACAGACAGTCCTACAACAGAAGGCTGTCTGATGCAGAACCAGTGATTTGACATTCCCTCCACATCTTCTGTGTCTGTGCAGAATATATCGTCCTCTGAAGTCTGATCTGACCTTTTGTCGTCGTCTGATGCAGTGAAAAAACTGTTGTCGACTAAGAAGGCTCAGCTCCTACAGGGGTGTGGGGGGGTGGGGCGGGGCAGCCTATAGGATCTCTCCCTGGCTGCTCCTCTCGCTTCAGCAACAAAAGTTAATTTGCTTGCCGTCCACTCGCTCTCTTTTAAGGATGCCAGTCTGCATATAAATAAAATATATAATGACCAAACTGCGTTTATAAAAATAGACAATCCTCGCAGCGTACAGTACAGCCACTCCAGCATGTCAATTCACTGCCGCTAATGCTCCCCGCCTGTTTGAACATTCTTTTATATGGAGGCAGTTAATAGTGTATGTACAGACACACACTCACACACACACACACACTACAAGCTGTGCAACACAATACATTCCCCTTGTGCTTCACCACCAGTGGGCATTGAGCCTAAAAATCACATGTGTAGTTAATCAAAACAGAGAAGTTTTGCACATGAAAGGGAATCGACATCTCGTAAATGTTCTGACCTTCGTGAAGGTCAACAGCTCCACATGTGACTGTGTATTGTATATGTTTCGAATGACTTACTGCCAGACGGGTGAGGCTGTATAGCTACATCAGTGAGGCTGTGACTGAAAGGGAAATGAAAATGTATGTACTGTCGTCTTAGACACATGACTGCTATTTAAGAAGCCACTTAGCCTTTGACCTTGAAGATTATTTTTATAGATCAATCAATAAGGCAATCCAAATGAGAGGCTCTCCATCCCATTAACCTGATACTGGAGTAGGAGACAAAGGCGTTTTGAACACTTGAGTGTTTTATGAGAATCATTCTAATGTATTAAAAGCCGTATTTGGACTTGCCTATGGTTGAATTTCAGGAGTTTCCTCAGAAGAACACATGTGTATGCCTAGGTCTGTAGTAGCCTTAAGCTCCGACACAGTCACCAGTGAGTTAGCAGAATAGTTGACGAGCCAGAATCTGATCTTGACTCCACGTAAAAGATGTGCATCCAGAGAATTTCTGCTTCTTTCCTTTGACAAACTTTCCAGCACTGATAGATTCTTGACGTATCATGTTCTTTGGGGATCATGCCTCATGTATCTGAACACAAATTAAGTTAACATATAAGTATTAACTTATACTCATAAGTATTAACGCTGTCAAATTTTAATCTGGCTAATCACAGGTTAGCTTGGAATTAATCATGATTAATCGTGATTAATTAACATTTCTTAATATGATTAATTGATTAATGATGAATGATGATTAATAAAATTATAATTTTCTTCTCGATATTTATGAAACAGAGGCAAAAACAGAGTATGTTGATTTTTTTGTTTGTTTGTTGCATAACATGTTTTTATGTGTGACTAATCCAAATGATATAGTTATTATATATGTATAGTTATGTGGGGAGTGTGACTAATCCAAATGATATAGTTATGTGGGGAAAAAGGCAACATCTCTGTAATGTTTGGTGTTCTAATTAAGATTAAAAAAATAGGAGTCACACTATAAATTGATTAGAAATTATTCAATGTTTTAGTTAACTGAAATTAATCTACAGCAATTCCAAATTTTCTGTGTTAAACATAAAAAGTTTTAAGCAAATTTTCTGTGTTAAACATAAAAAGTGCAAAACTGCAGCAGTGCATGTGAAATGCCATAGATTTATCGTCTCTTTTTGGAATATTTTATTTTCTTTATGTTCTTTTACGCTGTCGATTATGTCGTTGACATTTCAGAAAAAGATGAACCCTTAACAACTCTACTCTTTTCAGTCAGATTGTTGAGCAGTAGCACGGTATTCTTGTCATTTTACAAAAGCAGACAAAGGATGGATTTGTCTGGGTGATGATGGGTCTCACTTCTAGAATATGTGTGGAAACGGCTGAAGATTTATGTCCCCTGTGGGTAACAAAGTTAAATCCCTCTACACAGCTTTTCTGTATTCCGTCCTGCCCTGCTGCAGTCAGGGTGATGGATGTGGAGGCTGGGCGAGTGGGGGTTGAGGCCCACAGGCTGGACGAGACCAGCAGGGACAGGACATTTAGTCTGACCGAGCGAATGAGATAGTGAGTGATGTTCACATTAATATAAGCTTCGGGTCTGTCTCACTTGAGTCTGCTCTGAATTTAGATTTCATTTCACAATGATTAGTAACACAGATCGTAGCCCAGCAAATTAGTGTAGATGACTTTTTGACTTGGGTTAAGATAAACTGAAAGAAAATATTTTTGCATTTCAAAGCAGTATAAAGTATAAAGGGAAATATGACTTTACTGCTGGTTATTTTCAAAAAATATGAGAAAAGCTGTCAAAGAACCAGACACATTTTTAGTTTTTTTATGATAAATAAATAAAAAATAATAATTGGAATAATCAATAAAAAACTTTCCAACTGTTCTTCACAGTTCACTTCTTCGGGAGTTTGGTAAAATATTGAACCCTGGACGTCAAAATATAATTTATACAGAATGATTTATATATAATTTATTTTATATAGAATATAATTTCATCGCTTGCGAGTTGTCTGAAAGACATTTAAAATTAATCTGTTCTTATGCGTGTGCATTCTGCTCAAAGCCTTAGCTTTGTGTGCGTCTCACTTCTCCTAAAGTCAGAGTTCCACTCTGTCTTATCGTCATTGCTGCCCTGCGTTTGAATTCCTCAGCCTCAGTATCACAAGAAAGTCACAAAACGAATGAAAAGTTACAAAACTAATAAAAAGTTGATGAAAACTGCTTAGCAGAGCTGCAGAGAGGCCTTTTAGGAGCTGCAGGTATTTTTGCAGGTGCTTGTTTGCTTATGCTGCATTCTACAACGCTGGGATCTCAGAGTTATGTCACTTGGGATCTTCAGGGTGTGAGCTCCAAGTGTTTCAGGACGTTCAGCAGAAATAAAAATAAATGAATAAATAAAAATATGGGTGACAGCGATGTAATCAAAATTCATTTGTTTTTGAGGAGATTCTCTGAAGTGTACCTCAGACATCCTGGACTTCTCCTTATTTATTTGGCGTTCTTTATGTTAACGTCAGGGCCCGCCACGTTGTCATATTATAAAAAGACGGGTGTAAGATTGTCTTAAAATGATGAATGTACTGGTCAGTGGTTCTGGTCATGGTGAGTCATTTAAACTTTTAATCCTCTATTTCCATTTCTAATCAGAACTTAATGGATGGATGTAGATGCTGCAGACGCACCATTAATCACCTGCAATATTCAATTGTCTTGATTAAATCTTATAAATAGTCTACAGTACATCAGGCTGACCAGTAGCAGTATATTTGGCACAAAACATTAGACCTCGCCACAAAAAAATAAATCAATGGTGGTGTCAGGATTTGGTTGTTTTTTTTTGTTTGTTTTGTTTTTTTTAGCCAGGACCATGTCTCGTCACGGGAAGACTCTAAATGACAGTTGTTTGATACATAATTTCCTTTTAAATATGATCATATAAAAATACCAAAATGTGACATACAGTATAGGAAGTGACAGGAAACTAAGGCACTGTTTTACAATTTTTTTTAATGTACAACAGGGAAATAATAGAAGCCTTGCAGCAGTCTCTACAGCTTCCATCGTTGAATGATAGGGGGCGACATTTTGACTTGTCCTTTGCTCTACATTTGTGTAATCTTGTTATGTACATCTGGAGAGGCTTCTTATAGACCAAAACTTTAAATTAACAATTCTTAAATATTTCTACAGCATTTAGCACAAATGTAATTATTTTAAATATATTCCGGCTAAAAATCACATCTTCTTTTTAAACTCTTGGGAATAAAGCCACGCCCCCTAGAGGTCTTTAAGTACAACCTAATAGATATTGGTCAACAAAGTCGATGCCCAAGGGTCCGCTCAGATAAACGAGACGTGCTGACACTAGGAATTCAAGGTCGAGGTGGATATTGACGGGCGGATCTTTGTATGGTGTTGGAAATGCTTTTACAGCATCTACAGACAGTGTGCTGTGTTCAGTTGGAGGGGAAGAGTTCAGAACAATGGAATTGTATTTAAAGTCCTCTCCTGTGGCTGGTGTCCAGGGTGAAGTGGGTCAGATGTGAAGCAGAGATTACAGCTTAGAGACTCTGAACCTAAGTTGCTTTAAATCATGGTCTCCCAGCAGCACCAGCCATTATGATGTGTCCACTTTCATTTGTCAGACTCCACTCGTTTGTATTCCTCACACAGCCTCCGAGCTGGGAAACTGGGTGGTGAGGAAGTGTTGGTCCAAGTAGTGAAAACCTTCCATGATAAATTTTTTTAAAAATGTATTTAAAGGAACAACAGTGACATTTTACAGCTTTTCATATCCTGTTGTGTTCCATCAGACTGGATGCACAGCCGGTTGTCACCAATGCTTTTCTAATTGAATTGTTTAGCTTTTCAGAGAAAAAAATGTTTCTCTTCCCTATCTTTTAGACAAGACCTGTAATGTGGAAGCAACACAGACTGTGTACAGTATATATGTGTGGAAAAACGAACAAAACAGTCTGAAGTACCGAGCCTTTAAAACCCCTCGTGTCAAGTTGACAGAGTTAACCAGTTATATTTAATCATTCACTGATAATAAAAGTAAACACCGCCACAGTCTGATTGAATATTCTTATTATCTTAGCAAATTTCACAGGAATTTAATTCACTTTCTGACCTGAAATAATGTCTAAAAATCACACATGAAAGATGATTTTTTTGTCCTTAGATTGTTCAGGGTTATAAAATTGTGCAGGTGTTTTTGCAATTCAATTGCAATTCAATTTCTTTGATGTTTGTGGTTTTGTTGTGTCTTCGGTTGTTTGTGATGTGTAGTTTGATTTGCATGACCGTCTTCCTACTTTCATCTAGACCTTCTCCGGTCTTTATTAATATGCATGAAGGTACAGGTCAAACTCTCGCTCCCTCTCTTTGTCTTTCTGTCATTGTTACCGTCTTGATAGAGCTGCACGTCCACAATCACTGCTCGCCAAAGGAGTTTTCTAAATCGGGAAATGACCCTGAGCACCTGCACTGCAGCAGGCAACGGACCAGTGAGGCTGAGTGTAGTAGCTGGTCCATTGATTTAGTCATTTGTTTCGTCCATGAATTCATTAACACTAACCTCACTAAGTGTACGTATCTCTTAGAGCAGTCCTGAAATATAAACCTGAACGGTTCACTTACTAAACACTTACCAGTCAAAAGTCGTTTTTATTATAATTATTTTAATTTAAAACATGCTATGATAACACAACTCCAAATGTTTTTTTTTTTTTGTTCAACATTAACACCTCAGTGTGCCATTAAAAATGCAGGTGAACTAACTGCAGCCATTACACTGTGGCACCACATTAGCTTTAGTGAATAATAGCTGGAAAGATTTTCTTTCTTCTCTTGTCACATGACTCCATTTATAGGAATCCTCTCTTCACTGTTTACGGACTATGACATAAAATATGTATGTGAACTCATCATGTTGTTTATGTTCTGTCCTGTCGCACCACATGTACCTGAAGAGGGTTTTCGATGTTGTTTTGTTGAAATTTATGAGTCAAATCAGCAAATCCATCCAAAGAAATCATATTTTTACTGATGTTAAAGCACAGCAATTCTGATTTAAAAAAATCTTCAAATAAAAATAGTAATAAAATATAACACCCCGTGACTGTCCACATGTCATGGCAGATTTGCAGCCCCACAACGAGAGAGTATTGTTGTCAGAGTTGGCAGAGGTTACACAATGTGGTTCAGTGTTGCTGCTATATTTATCCTGCCCTTCTATTACAATTCATTTTGTTGTTTACCAGCATTTTTACAGCTGCTCCCAGAGTGCCACCCTCTGGTCAACCTGCTAATTTCCGTAAACAGAAAATAGCAGCAAGCGCAGTACTGTGTTATGAGGAGAGGATTTAAAAATCTTTAAGGCTTGGTGTGTGAGTATGAGACAGGTCCTTTTTTTTGTTTGTTTGTTTTTTTAACCCATTTTGTGATTTGAATAAAGTAAGTCTGCTCTGCAGGAGAGAAAAACAATCAAAGTACTACGCTGCCACACTTCCTCTCAACTGCATTCATTTGCACTTATATATCAATTATTGAGTTGCATATACTTACGCATGTCTTACTTTACAATGCAATATTCAATGCCATATAATATTAAGTGTTCCTTGTTAGATTATGTAATAGTCCAAAGATTTCATAGGGTGGTAGTATTTGTTTACACTTGAATTAAGTGCCCCATCCATGTACAGCATTGAATTATTTAAATGTATTAAGTAATTTAATTGAATCGAAGTTGTGTTATTTTAGATTGATCAATACAAGTTGACTAGTTGACTAAAACCCACAAAATGTTGCAGTTGTAGTAAAGGTTTGCATAAAAATCGCAAACTGGTTAAGAAAATAGACATTGGGGTAGAACAAAAATGATAAGTAATAGCAAACTCTGATAATCATAACAGCTAGGTTAAATGATTTTAAAAGAATCATCAATAATGATTTCATTTTTATTTGGATTGCAGGCTGAAAAACACACGAATAAACAGTGGTTATGTTCCACCTTTAGCCTCTAGAGGGACTCGAGATGCACGTTGTTCCTCTTGTGAAAACAGACTCTCTGCGTTTCTGGTTCTCTTCTCCCTTAGTTGATCCTGATCAACACAGATGTTACTGCTACTTATCAAATGAGAAAAAGACCACACTCTCTTTACCTTTTATTATACTGTAAAACATAGCACAATAAATTAATTTGCTCTGGCTGGTGGATGTCAACATTCTATAAAAACATAAGTATTATGTAGTGACTGTGTATGAAAGTTTAACTAACTCTTCTGTTTACACCTACAGAGTTGGAGTCATATGTTATCAGACCAGGTTTAAATGCTGCACAGATGGGATATTTTAAAGCTTCCTCTAATGGGATCTGATCTGAGGTACAATCCTGCTGCTCATGTCCATTTGTCTCCTCAGAAAACACAGAACTGTAAGTATTGACATTCAGTTCAATACGTTCTCATGTTTTGATTTCAGCAGCCTGAACAAGTCCAGAAGTATTTCCCACCCTCGGCCTGCACTGCTGTATACGGTGAGTATTAACTGTGATATGATTTCCACATATTTGCCAGAAGCTATCGCACTTGCACCCCATGAAGAAACAGTATTTACTGTAAAAGGATTGCAATCAATCAGAAACAATGCATTTCTCAACAGCTTTCTGGGAACTGAGATCAGAATTGATTTTAAAAGTATCAAACTTTGCCAGGGCTTCCACTTCAGAACTTGGATCAAAACAAACATTTCTATAATATATAAACTTGGATCAAAACAAACATTTCTATAGTGAGTCACTCGGATACCGTCTGTAAACAGTTGGTCATTTATCAGAGTCCCTAATAAACATCGATCAATGATGATCAGTGTTGCTTCTGACACATGAGATCAGGTGGTCGTGTCACTGGTGCAGTTTATACACAGTATAAGTCGTCTGTAACACAGTGAGGCTGGATTACGTTGCTAATGCAATTTCTTTAACGTCATTATCTGATTAAAGTGTGACGTATTTACTTTGTGAATACATCGCAACAGCGTCATTCAGACCTGCGACTCTTATCTGTCAATGTAGTCACTACAGTTGGTGCATGTGGACATTGTAATGTAATATCTGACGAATAGTTTAAACAAATGTTCTCCTTTATATATAAAACATTGGCGTCATCAAAGCCACATATTATTAAAAAGTGAGTACATGTTAGTACAGTCACAAACTTAAACCTCTAGTATGTTAGGAATTTGAGTCCAGTGATTTCCAAACACTGTGCCATGGCTTCTTTATTTTTTTAAAAAGTTTTAAAACCG